TCACTGCTTCGTCACTGCTTCGTCACTGCTTCATCACTGCTTCATCAACTGCTTAATCACTGCTTCATCAACTGCTTCGTCACTGCTTCATCAACTGCTTCGTCACTGCTTCATCAGTGCTTCATAACTGCTTCGTCTATGCTTCATCACTGCTTCATCACGGCTTCATCACTGCTTTACTCTCAGAAGCGCACCGTAGCTTTTGGCTGGGCTTTAGCTCGCTTTAGGGATGTTGAACGTTTAACTTTCCAGAACATTCAGCTCCACGTGGAAGTGTGCTCTGACTTATGTGGCGGCTGTGGCTGAGTGGTTAGAGCAGTCGTCCTCCAATGCGAGAGTTGGGGGTTCGAATCCACCAGCAGTCACATGCTGAAGTGTCCCTGGGCAAGACACTGAACCCTCATAGCCTCTGATGTGTGTCCCATCAGTGTATGAATGTGATCTAAAGCTCTGATTAGTCTCTTTAGAATGATTTGTTCAGTTATCTTTGTAGAGATCTAGTATAGAGCTGTATGAACGGGTAAATGAGGCACAGATTGTTGTAAAGAGCTTTGAGTGTCTTGAAATAAGATAGAAAGGTGCTGTGTAAGTACAGTCCATTTACCATTTACTTCTGACATTTTAAAGTTTTTATCTTTTATCTTAATAATTTCTGTAGAAATGCTCGGTAATCTCTCCGGTTCCTTAAAGACAACAAAATAAACAACAACAACATGAGGCAGCTTCAGAGGACAGTTTGATTATAAAACAACCAATCAGTTCCTCTGAGCAGCTCCGTGAGTCTGATGGAGGAAAATAGATTTAATGTTTTTATTTTTATTTATTGTTTTTGTTTGTTGGGGAGAGCTCAGGCTTTGTTGGTTCGTTATGATTCTGTGTGATGGTTCTGCCTCAAACGGACCTTTTGATGGAGACAGACGTCTTTTTGGAGGGAGAAGCAGAACCCGGGACGTCCACGAGTCAGAAGAACAGAAGTCTTCAAACGTCTCCGCACGAAGCCAGAAGTTTACTCCTCTTCGCCTCGGTGGCCGTCTGGCCGTCACTATGGCAACAGAGTAAATATAGAGGGAAGAGGCGGCTCGTCATCGATGCCGCTCCATCGCCATGGCAACAGATGATGTGGAGGGAGAGGAGACGAGTCACGCTTTTCATGTCCCTCAGAGGGAGAGGAGGGGAGCACTGGAGGGGGAGGCAGGATGTGGCTGCTTCCGCCGCTCCACCCGAACAAAACGTCACGAGCGGCTTCGACCACGAGGACGCAGACCTGATCAACGCATGTCCCCCAGAGGACACCGTACGTCCCACAGAGGACACCGTACGTCCCACAGGGGTGAACATGTGTCCCACAGAGGACACCGTACGTCCCACA